TTGGGGCAGGTTTAAGAGCACAGTTGTCTCCCTAAAAGTATGCCAAACGCTTGCAGTTGGTTTTGAATGTGCTGTGGTCAAGGCCAACCCTTAGCTTTCAAGCACCTTGTAAATATGAAGGCACTCAGACTTGGGGTGTGCATAGCTCGTTGCTCAGTTAAAAATATATTTGTCCTATCAATCATGAACAGAAGTGGGGGAGTCAAAGAAGTGGAATAAGTGGAGAAGTAAAATGTGAACAGGCTACTCCATATGTTGTAGCAAATGCGAAACAAGTCACTAGTCTCTATATGTTTTATACAGGATTAGGGTGCACATAACTACCAAGTATATCCATGATATTCTCAGAACTTTGTAACGCAAATGTACCCCGTACATCGCGGGGAGACTTGGATATAAAACATATACAACTGGGGTACACAGACATTAAACTTCGCAAACGCTATGAGTACTTAAAAGGTACCGGACGAGGACTATACAGTACATCCGGTCCCCAATTTCGAGCCAATTATGACACTTCAGTAGCCGGGGGATACCTTAGTCAGATCCTGAGTACCTTTCTCCTGCAAAATAATTTATCGGAAACGCCGTCCCAAGCCGCTGGGATAACTTAATCGCAACGACCTCCTATGACCGCCCGGCCACACTCTCTCTTCAAGGTTGCGTTTCAACCCTGGCTACACCCCTGGCCCAGGAACCGCACTGCGCTCGTAAACAGCTGGGATAGATCTGAAAATTTCCCAAAAATGCCTAAATACGAAGGTGTGATCGATCACCAAGCAAGGGTTTCAGCCAATCTATCCCAGGCGCGACATGTCGACCTCCTTTTTTTTTTTTTTGTTCTCCCTCCCCTCTGCATGGTTACAGCATCTATCATGGTCTTCTCATCCTAAAAGTCACCCCAGCCTCTGTCCAATTTAGCCCTGAGCTTTTCGTGACTCACCAGTGCCGGCTGGAAATGCCGTACAGAGACAAATAAAGAACTGTGTCACCTCAAAAATTCACAACAATTATCCTGGAGAAGGAAAGGTACTGGTGATGGTCTGTTTCCATTGTGGCACATACAGGAAAGCAACGAGAATCTAACAACCTCGGAAGTGGAGGCAAATAATACTCGGTCCATACCTCAGACAGTCTGAATGTTGCGTAGCTCGTTTTTCGGCATGGAGTGAGACACAAACCGAGCGTATATTTGCCCATGTGAAGATGTAAGTCATACATAGCTCCAGAAAACGTTTCGCACAAGATGGTGGTTGGAATAGCGGGCTATAGCACTGTCGCGCTTATAAAGCCAGGAAAAGAACGATGGCTGCTAATTCCTCGGATGCATCTCTGCTGGCTAAAAGCTGTGATACTATTCAAATCTCGGAACGGACGCCGCAAAAATTTTCCGGTCGGATTGTAGAGCTGCCAAAGTTAATCCTCCTAAACCCTAGGGAGCACCCGGGTGTCCATTTCCATAGAGATATCAGTGATTGGACGCTCCTCGGATAGAAAGCTATGAGCGTATTGGGGCCTCCACGGAAAGGCTCGCATTATTGATCATCAAAATCATGCATAGAGGGTCTCGCAAGCCTAGGCCAGCAAGAGAACCCTTTTCCAGTGAGAGGCACACTAGAAAAATTAGATCCAAGACTCAAGAGTTCTTGCTATACAGAGATAATCCGGAGCAAACCAGTGTGGGGTATGAAACATGCGGGGTCTATCGGTCAAAGCCTATCATGAAAACGAGCGCTACTCCATCGCAGGTAGATCACCAAGCGGAGGGGCTCAAACAGAGACTCGCCTGCCTTCTTGGACAGAATCCCAAGTATCAATTCGTCATCTGTGTCATGGATATCCGGGACAATCAATGACCAGAGAACAGATGTCATCAAACCAACTGGTTTTCAGATTTGGATGTAAATCAGCATGGATGCGACTCCTCTACGCTGATGACACGCAGACCGCATTGATGAAGCACCGCCTCATTGCACCGTCGAGGTCGCGACGGTAACTGCGCAACCCACCCATAGGGTAAGTTTGAGGAGGGGGTAGCATGCAGCCGCCGTACAAATGATACAGATCCTTGGTTTCGAATAGGGGTGCCATACGTGGCACTAACGATATCAAAATTTGCGTCACAGCTGGGAATACCAGGCGTTAAAGCGTGTGCGCGAACAAGGAGGGTCAACTTTGCAAGCAACCCCGGGAAAAGTAAATATTCAGGATTGAGCTGCCGGTCAAATTCAAGGCCCAGAAAGTGTCAGGGAATACCATTCATTTCCGATCAAGATTGTGTTATGAGGCAGTGCCCAATAAGAAAAGGGAGTTCTCCTAAGCCTATCAGGGTCTTGAGGCATTATCTCACTCCCCAATCATTTTGGTTCCCGGGGCTGAAGGGGCATTAACCATTGAGATTTTTCACACGCATACCTGTACCAGTGTAGTACGTGACGACCATCGAATCGCAAAAACTACGGTTAAGTCATTTGTAGGCTTTCCTCGGAATCGGTGGAAGTCGTCAGGCGCACTATTGGTAACCAACTGTGGAAGTTCCCATGCTCAGTAGTGAGACAGAACGGGTAAAATAGCTCCACATTCACGGAGAGGCTGAGAAGAAAAGAAATTTGGTGTAGTGTATATATCATGGCCCTGGGATCCATTAGGCCGTGGCATGAAATTGGGACCTAGAGAACAATTTAGCCACGGTTATCGAAGACATCGTGTGACTCGAAGAGTTGATCTCTTGTAAACTGTGCTTCGAGACGTGAATCAGGAACCAATCCTTGCGACGTATCTCCACATCCCAGGTTCCAGACCGAGATCCAGATCATTTCGGAGACTGTCCACAAGTGTTTACCTTTAGATTTCGGAGCGGAGCAAAAATCCACGGAGTCACAGATACACCCTCGAAAATACCGCCAACATGCCTATATTTAGGACACCATGGGAATATCACCAGGAAGGCATAATTCCTGCGACAATGTAATGATACGGAGTTGATCTCTGCCATCATAATTAGGTACAGAGCTCCGGAGGCTTCGGACAGGGTCCCCTGCGGGAATAGCCTCCTGCCAGGCATTGGCTCATGCATATCATGTCGTAGATTTTTAGAGGTACACAAAACCGTTGCGTCCCAAGTCTGGTAGCATCCACCAAAGGAAGGGACTCTTAAAGTCACACATCCGGTCGGACAGGCATGACCTCGGCAGGCTGTTGATCTCCACACGTGTCAATATACAAATGCTCTTACCGCTGGAACTCTCCACATATCATGGTGCTCAGGCCTCCGTTCTTGTAATTACCAGTCCCTCAAGAACGATGCGTCTGGGATTAATGGGCGGTCCAACAAAGATCGTCGTGTTCACAGATCCGTACAACTCCGTCGGCGGTTGAAGGTCGATACCTTGTAACAAATATTAGGGTGGTGAACATTGTAATTTCTTACCAACTCTCGAGAGCATGTGTCGATATCGCCGACGAGGATGAATCTCGGCTAAACTATAAACAACATTGGGATCTCCATCAGCAACAAATGCATTCAAGCAAAATCTTCTTGCGAATCGATCGCAAATGGCCCAAAGGTGATGAACCCACAATATCTTTTGGCTGCTGCTTTTCCAGATTCTTCATGCTTTTCAATCTGACACCAGAGCAGCTGGGACCGACTTAGCCCGCTGGAGCATAGAACGGAGTACAGCACAACTAGTTAGCTGTCGATAGGATAGCTAGTGAATCCCCAGGGACGACAAACACAATACCATAGAACACAATTCTCCAATTATACCCAGTAAACCATTGAATTGATGAGGAAGGGTGAGGCAGGTAATCCAGAGGTACAACGGTTGTTGTTGGCCTGCCGCTGGGTTGAAGTAGAAATAAACTCGGGGTCTGGGGGCCGCTCGCTAACTAACAAAGTTAACTAGTCCCCTTTTTTTCCAGAGACATGCCATGTCACACGTCCAAGCAGGTATATGTCATTGGCAACTCTTCAACGTCCGATGTAGGTAGCCGCGGTTCCTCTTGATGGGGAAATGTAACTACATCGAATCCACCTACTACGTGTAAATGAAACTTTACTCAGCAATCGTAGTACAACATGTTATGTGCAGCATATGAAGATTTTTACCCCGTAGGTATGCACGGGAAATAACTACTCACGCTGGACAACGCGCTGTAGTCGTAAAACCGCATACAGCTCCGTACGGAATAAAAATATACATGACTACACCCAAGCTATTGCGTAAGGTCCTGTGTTGAAGATCCGGGCTTCACGGGGCATATGATCCGGCATTTCGTCCTGCGTGCCGGTTGCATTGATACTACTGAGTACAACTGATTTCTATACATCAGGAAAGACTTGGATGCCGAATACTTTTCAACCGTGATCATGTCATTAATCCCGTTAAAACCACCCGAAGCTAAACACAAGCAAAAAACCACATGAATACGAAAAAGAAAGAGAAAAAAGAAATAAAAATAGAAAGGGAGAACAAAAAGGAATACAAGGCATACGTGGGGAAAAAAAAAAAAAAAAAAAAAAAAAAAAGGAGAGAAAACCAGGTTGTCGTCGACCCGTAGAACACTTGCGTAAAAAAAAATCCCGTTTCGTATACCAACACAACTTTCCCACATAAAAAAGAAACCAAAGAAAAACGCGAAAAATTGACAGGGCAACAATATATAAAACGCAAGGAGACCAAAATATCGCAGCGTAACGTTGCCGGAACTAGATTTCCACCATGGTATCTCGGCATAGTATCCATGAACAGCAAGAACAGTACCCAGCCATACTCCTAAGAACCTTCCATCCCGGTTGCTCCTCCGCGATATTTGGCGACCAAAAAAAAAAAAAAAAAAAAAAAAAAAAAAAAAAGGGAAAAGAGGGGAGAAAGAAGGAAAAAGGACGGATAATTACTGGAACAAATAGTTGAAACCGTCGTAGGAAACAGGAGAGGCTGGAATGGTCCAAGTCGAGGGATAAAATGTGGTCAGGAGACTTTCATCTGTCTTTTCCCTTACAAATTCTTGAAGTGTTCCTTTGCGTATTGCTCGCATGCCTACGATACATGTTAGCACAATGTGGATGAACCTACCAAGGTTATCCTTGGATTTTAGGGAAAGTATACCTTAGCAGGCTTTCCAATCTTCTGGCCAATGACCTTCCACTTATTTGCTTCGTATTCTTTGATTGCCTCCCTCAGAGCGGCTGACTGCGCTAGTGTTAATTTCTAGATCCAACCAGGTCGAGGAATATGCAGAACTTACCTCATCCTCAGCGAATTCAGCATAGTGCATATCCTACCAATGATTAGACTCCAATGTTATTGCTCTTTGGACATCTGTGGACACGCGAGATAGCTACCTTGTACCAATGTTTCTTGACACTGCCCTCTGTCCTTGTAGGAAATGTCTAAAGAGAAAATATCAGACATTAGAGCCCAATCTACCAAAAGCAAGAAAGGCAATCATCCAAGACTTTCGAGGGGTGTGGGACAAACCTTGGCAATTTCGCTCCAGGTGTTACCGGCATCTCGCATTGCCTTCAGTCGCTGTTCTTCTTCGGCAGTCCATGGAGTATTCGTGCGGCCTTTCTTCTTGCCTCCTGTCTCTGGTGCTGCAGCAGTGGTTGGTGGGTTCCCTTCACCTTCAACAGGGGCAGTTAGCTGTGGAGGCGCCATGGTTGACATGGGCGCGGACTGTTGGAATGACGCACGTCTTTTCCGGGGATTCACAGCAGGCACAGTTCCTGGCTGTTGCTGGGGAGGTGCTGGGGGTGCCTGCGTAGGGGGAGGAGCTGGCACCATGGGAGGCGCTTCAAAGTGGCCAGGACCAGGAAAAGGAGGTCCTGCCTGGTTTAAAGGATGTGTGGGAGGCGGATTGGCGGGCAGAGTAGTTTTGATTCTTTTCGAGGTGGGGGGGGAGCTATGAGCGAGTTAAAACGAAAAGTGTCAGAAGTAAGTCAACTGTTTCGGTTTTGAAAGTTCTCATCGAGAAACACATGGCAAGAGAGTCGCATATGGGATGAAACTCGGCTCGGGAGATCAACAGAGGCAAATACATCTTTTAGGGACAAATAAAATAAATAAATAAAAACGAAAAGAAAAAAATGTACATGATGATCAGCAACATGCGTACGTGGTGGAGGGGGGTTAGGAGAATGAGGGGAAAAGGGGATGGGAGGACATGAAAAGACGGGTTTACTTACGACATGGCGGGAAGAGGGGATCTCGATGCAAAGACCGGCCAATTCATCTGTAAAGATACGAAAAGGAAGAGGTTAGCCAGGGATGAGCTGGTATTAACGTGGGTAATATGCGAAGGCGAAGTCCCATCGCGAGAGGGAGAGGCGTGACACACTAGGAAAAATGAATGGGGATCACGGCAAGCTTGACCTGCACGATCAAGCTGGCCGAGAATACTATATGTTTAATGGAGAAGGGGAGAAAGGAGTGGCCCAAGCGGGTACAAGAGGAAAAGGAAGTGAGAAGGCTGGGATGATAAGTACGATTGGTAAATAGACGGGTCGGATGTATAGTGAACTTCGCAGGCCGTATATTCGAGTCGAGGATACACAGGTTGCGAGAGAGGGAGTCACTGGATGTACCGTGTCTCCGCCGCGAAGGTTAGCTTGGTTCCCAGGTTGTTGCAGGCATGTACCGCTGGGGACATGAAGCAGTCACAACGAAGTAACTGGCACAGAATAAAACGAGGAGCACAGAGCTGGACAACCAGAGCAGTGACTTGGATGAATTAAATAAGAAAACGAGCAAGGAAGATGATGAATGGGAATGGGGGATAAGAGAGGTATGGAGGTGATAGAGTTGGACGGGGCAGCTTGGATGTTGTTGACGGAATGGGGGGCGGCCACCGTGCTTGAATTGCGGGGAAGTCCAGCGTAACTTTACCGCGACTTTACGGGAACCGAGTCGAGACTCTCGCCCTTTTACATGGTAGTGACCTCTGGGGGAAGCGATACCCGTAACCAATACCGCCTTGCCCGACCATTCCAGCAGAACGACCCAGCTGGAGTCCTCGCCGGCTATCCATGCAGGATCAGCCCTCGCTGCCCAATAGACAGCCACCTCAAGCTGGAGGAACACAGAGACATTCGTTTTTCGTGGTTTGCCAGCAGAACAGCTGACAGGCGTCATGTCCATACACGCCTTTCTCCGTGTATTTAATACGTAATGACCCTACTAGCGTGCCCATACCCTTACATACAGAAACACTCTAAACCCTGATCGGGTGCCGATGGAGCAACGATCTGCTCATGAACCATGCGACCCTCTCGACAAATGTGCAGGTCTCAGTCGGTTAAAGGACTATCCGAGTTCGCTCTCGAAGCAGGCACAGAGGCGATTTATGCGGTATCATGTGTTTTTTTTTTTTTTTGCTTTCCCTTCTCCATTCTGAAGTTAGACTTTCAGGTTTCTGCAGCATCGTTGAATGCCTTGATGTTCTAACACCCACCAGTGCCAGGTCAACTTCCCGTACAATAGAGACAATGTCGGAACCGTCGTGATGCAGTGCCAAGATATCAAACAGGGAATAGTTCGCAGGGAGTTAGACAGAAGCCTAAAACTCGAAGTCTGTGCACACCAGATGGAGAGATCTTAGAGGTCAAGGGTCTGACTGTCTTGGACAGTCAGAAATGTAAGGGTTTCTCAAGGATCCCTACTCCAAGCTCTTCGGCAAGCACAGACAACCGTGACTTCGGCAAGAATGGGACGTACAGCGTACCTCACTACAACACTGACATTTTGGGACTTTTGGCAGAAATGTCATTGACTTTCAAATTCCCGTTTTAATTAATAAAAGCATGGTCGTCTACAGAGTAACAGGTGTGCATGCATGCATGTATGCATGCATGTATGATAATACATACATACACATACACCCGTTCATGTTCTCAAGAGCATACTGAATGCAGAACGATGAGTTGAGGGTGCTCTGCTGCACATACCTCTCCGACTGATCCTTGCAATCACCCGTAGCCCGGCCGTGATTCCTCCTTCAGCCACCACCATTCGTATCTGTCCGTGTCGCTTCTGAAGCGCTGCCGGCGATCGAACGCTGGGCGGAAATCAAACATTGGCGTTCAATTTTTCTTCTTTCGAGCCGAAGCAGCGTATGCTCTCCAGAGCATGCACTGCTTAGACGTATCTGTACCTCGCCCCGGTACTACATGGTCAGCTCGCTCCGGGCCTTCCGAGGACCATCCGGTGAACAGTTGCTGGGATAATTTGGCAGAGCACAAATGTGTGGCAAAACACACTACGGAGTCGCTAATAAGTATAATATGTAATGCGGTCATCATGCATGACGACCTTCTGCTCCGATTTGCCCGACATAAACATGAGCAGAGATATCTGCCTTGTCCCAACGAGAAGTTTCGACAATGGCGAAAGACACTGTGAATCATCATATTATGGGGAAATTACAAGGTCGCTCTTAATAACCTATAAGATTGGACATGTTGCAGACCAGCGTTCGAGGAATCGGCTCCTATGGCATTGTAGTGACACAGAATGCACGAAGAAGCTTCCGAAAGCACAAATCCGGATTCACTAGCTGATCAGCAAAACAGAGGTCATCCCAAGATATCAAAAAGAACAGTCAAAGGCCGCCGCACACTCCCTCTTGCCAATCCCCGCCCGTTATGCAGGGTGTAGTCCCAGGTGAGTGTCGACACCTGCGTTCCCTCGCAAAATTCTCCGTCACTACAGAAATTTATTAGGCATTACGTTATCAACAGGTCGGGTACGGCGCTAGACCGTATCTGGACGGCTGCCTCTGCATTGGGTTCGCGGTCGCCGGCAAGCCCACCAATCAGCGGCCGCACTAACGGCTGGTCGACGGCATGGCGATACCCCTAGTAATTTAAAAACCGGCGCGCAGCTGCTTGCCCGATCCAGCCGTCGCAGTGCGGTTGCGGTCGAATTCGCAGCCGGTTTCTCCAGCTCCAACCTTGACGTGCCAATGTCTGCATGGGAGAGGAATGGCGCTCGAAACCCCCGTAGTTACGGATGGCCTCTTTGGGGGAGGCCTTCAAGTGAATCGGGACACAGCCTCGCAAAGCCTCAGTCGCTAAGATTGATACGGCAGTGGGCACGGGGGCGATCAAACAACCCTGCGATTTGAAACTGCGACGCGAATCGGTGCCGAAAAGCTGGCTTCCATTCCGTCTTAGCCTTGGGGAGAGTTGCTTCAAATCGAGGACAAAGGAGGCAATTTATGTTTTGTCCTGGGCTTGCGCATTTTTCCACTTTCGGAGGGGGAGCGGGGGGAGTTTTGCTGAAGGAAGATAGGATTAGTTTAGTACACGATACGAGATGTGGACGAGATAAGGTTACTTGCAGCTCAGGTACCCAATTCCAGATCACTCCATGTTTCGGCCTGACGCACGCTTGAGTTCCACGCGATGCTTCTTATTTTTAGAAGGGAACTGCTCCGCAAGGAGAATTTTCCTGAGGAACTTCTGAAGATGTACCCTGGCTTGTGCGGACGTCGGCACTTTCCCCTGTACGGGGTGTCTGTGAACTATTTGATACTTTGCACAGAAGTACCGCTTTAGGGCCGCGGAGGCCCCCCGAGATGCATGCAACCCTCGCAGGTGGTCACCGTGCTCGTGTCATATTGCCAGTAAGTCAAAGCACTTGAAGCATCAGAAATCCGTCTCAGATGGCCAATTCGGGACGTACAAGGCGTCCTCTCGCCCGTTGAAGCTAGCCTGCGTAAACCACATTAAACATTATCGGTAACGATTATATGAGATTCGCGACTATTGTTCCCGGAAGGGGGCTGTTGAAACCGGGAGTGGATTGCACCCACGCAGACAAAGGACGCCAGAGGTTTCGAGTTGCTGCTCGCGCAGTTCTTGATGGCCTAGGTCGGCACACAGTCCTGGTCACTGTTAAAGGTGGGAAAAGCTGGCGCTTCACGTGGGGTTCGTCATGTGAAACCTGGTGCACTGGTCGCGGTCCTGAAACGCCCACCCAGTGTTGGTTCTTGGATCGCTGCCAATTAGAGACCTCCCAAGGAGAACCATCACAACTTTCCGTGCCTGACAGCCCACGATCTTCGGATCTAGGATCAACGACCTGCATCCGGTGCTGGGAATCCATGTTCTGCATGGACAATAGAGGTTCTCTTTAACTGTTCCCTCCCGCGAGAAACCTTCCCAGCGGGATATTTACCCCTGGCGAGCGCGCCAGTGTTCCTGGTTGACACATCCTCGTCCCGACAGAATTCTTCGGCCAGCGGCTCCTCCCAGATAGGTCTCGGGAACATTTAGCAGGAGGAGGCCGAAAGAGGAAGAAGAAAGCGACCTTGATTCGGCCGTCTGATGAAACAATGCCCGCTTCTTCGCTCGTTGTCTTGCCCTGACACAAATCACTCGTGGGAGAGATGCTTCTTTGCCCCCCTCTCTCAGCTACCAATTCGTGTAGAGAGGGTTAAGTGTGGCAGCGTCTATGGGGTTGGACTCTAAAGCATAAACAAACTGGTTGAAATGTCCTGGATCCATGGATCGCCAACCATTCTGGGTCAGTGGCGGCCGGTGCTGACACTTTCTCCGTTTTGCCCTGTATGAAGGCATCAAGGGTTTAAAACTCAATGGGCTAATGGCGGCCTTGATGTAGAATTGATGCGTCAATTCGTCCAGTGATCGCCGAGTTAGGAAACGCTCACTAAGAAATATGACCTTCAGCCTCTATGCCTCCTAAACCTTTTCGGGTGGAGTTGAGACTGTCACTTGTTACAAGATTCGGGTTTCGATCAGTCGAGACAAACTAGCTGTCCCGCTTCTGTCGAGAAAGACATGGGTTCAGAAACAGCTCCGGCTCCAGCCATCACATCCCAAGCTTCATGCAGAAGTGTGGCAAGGGTGGAGAACTGCTTGGTCAAGCGAACGCGATGAGAGGACGTCCTATAGATAACGCTCAAGTTTTCTCCTTCTTTTCGATGTTTTCTGTTTTGTTCGACACATCCAGTCGATACTCAACAAGCACAAAAGACTCCGTGTCTTCCTCAATCTCTTTTACCTTCTTTGCCCCTGGTTGGGCCTTTTAATAATCATCCTTTCGCCTGTGAGATCTTGACGATCTACTGCTTCCCTCGTTATATTAATATATACATCCTGAACGATCCGTTCCTCGTTCCCTATATATCTATAGAGTGAACATTTGTCTATATTCTGATTATAAAGCAGC